AATTTCATTATTTTTTTTATATTATAATTAAATTATTAATAGTTCAATATTATAGGGTTAAGGTAGGTATATAACTTACTTATTGATATAACTTATTTATTAAGTATATTAGATATAATATATATATTTATTTTATAAATATAAAAACTATTAAGGAAGAGGATTTTAATTAGTTATAAATATTTTTTTTAATATTAGTAAATTATTAATAGTTAAAAGGTAATAAGTTAATAGAGATATATTACTTAATTATTTATATTACTTACTTATTAACTATATTATATAAATAAAACTTCCTAATTATAACTTAATTTATAGTTTTTACTTATAATATTATTATCTTTCTATTTTATTATAAATTTATAATATAAGTTATTTTTCTTATAATAACTATAATAGAAAGATAATACTTATAATAACTATAATAAAAATATAATTCTTATATTTTTATAAAAGGCTAAAAATATCTTATATCTCTATAAAATGTTCTTAGCTTTTATATATTTAATATAAAAAACTTAATATTTTAAGGTTATAACTTTATAAAAATAATTAAAAAACTACTTTTATATTTTTTTAAATAATTTATACTTTTCTTCTTTTATAAGTTATTTTTAAATATATAAATATTCTTTTTATTAAAATATATTAATATATATTTAAAAGAATTTATATATTTTAATAATTAATTATTAGTTTTAAAAAAATATTATAATAATACTTTTTAAGAAATAATATTATTTAATAATTAAGTATAATTTTATATATCTAAGTTTATTAATAATATTCTTAACTAATTTAGTATAAGTAATAGAAAATATTTTTTATTTTATAGCTGTAGGTATATAGTGGTTATAAAACTATCTAGTACCTATCTTAAAGAGTGGGTATGTAGTATATGTAGACCTTTTACCTATAGCGGAAGTAGCTACTAACTATTATATATTATTACTATACCCTTATAGTATTTTAGTTATATAGCCCTAGTAATCTTATAAATAGGCGTATCCCTAGTTGTGGATATATTAGTTAGTTTACCTAATAGAGTAGTTAGGTAATATAGTATTATAGTGTAGTCTAGTAAGATTACTAGGGAGTAATTTCTTAGATTTTAGATATATAATAGGGGTCACTTATTATGTTATTTTCTAGCTAATCCCTATAGCTATATTATGTTAACTCTATAAGCCACTTTATTAGATATTTTAATATATATCTGCTAATAAGTGTTATGTTTATAAGCTAGTAGGCTTAAATTATTTACTAGGTCTATATGGCCTTTATTACTAGGAAATTATTAAGGGGCGTGAACTCTTACTAAAAATGCCTTAGATTAACCTAGAAAAGGAATTCTTATCTAATATAGGGGATAGAAAGGCTTCTTACTAGTATTTTTATATATAAGTTAAGATAAGGCTATTTATAAAACCTTTTTATACTGTTAAACTAAGAGCGTAGATGACCTAATAATTACTTATGTATAGTAGCTACCTAAAAGTAATGTAAAAAAAAAAGGATATACTACCCTAAAGAAATAAAAATAACTTTAAAGAACTATAACTAATAAAAGATAAATAATATTAGAAAGCTAATAAAAAAAAGGTTATATTTAGACTTTAAATATTTATATTATATAAATAAAATATAATAAATAACT